AATCAATAACTGACCGTCAAAGCAAATGAATTCAGTATGGTTCAAAAACATTTTGACAGCATGCATTAATAACTTTTGATATAACTGTACATCTTGAGATAAAGTGCAGAACTATGTTCTCCCTGCTGTTTTGCATAGGCCTAACCCCCCACGTCAGAGCATAAAAAAGAGTGGTTTTGCATACCAATTCCAAAGTAGATGGACCGTCAGCCACCTGCTTTCATGGATGACATCAAGCTGTATGCTCGACATTGACTCAACTTTTCCCATGGATCTACAGCAACAATTCAGAGGGGCAAGAGGACTACCACTGAAGGGGTTGAACTACCGAAAGCAAACACAGCAGATGTTCAGAACAACTACAAATACCTTGGAGTCCCACAGGGAAATAGGAACCATAAGATGACTACAGGGAAGTTAGCCACAGCCAAATACCTACATAGTTAGGCAAGTCCCATAAAGTCAGCTGAATGGACAGAACAAGATATGACCCATCAACACACATGCTCTGCTGCTGGTATAATAACCTGGCAAAAGGAAGAGATAGAGGCCACTGATATTAAGACAAGAAAGCTCATCATAATGCATGGAGGGTTTCACCCAAAGTCCAAAGTCTGAGACTGTACAGTAATCTGAAGAAGAGATGCTGAGGAGCAGTAATTGGATGGCTAACAAAAGCGCCTAATGAGGTGAAAATGGTCAATGGACATTTAACCAAATTTGAATGTGCTGTATGTAAACGTCTGACCCAGCTGATTTTGTCATATTTCCAGAAGACCCACAATAACTTAGTGACAGAACCAAAACGTATGATTTGATTTAGTGACAAAGATGTGTTTAAATGATTCCGTCATAGAAAATGCCGCGTTACAGGAGTCATTGGAACCTCTGCCTGATATGCATGGTCTGTACAAGTGTCTTTAAACTTTTGTTCACAGCTGTATGTATAAGTATATATGTATTTTTATATGCATGTGTATATATAGTGTGTGTGTGTGTTTTCAAATAAGGGCTAAACTTCTCAAATGTCAGTGTTGGTATCAGCCTTAATTTTTTTCAGTTTTATTTATATAGCGGCAAATCATGGCATATTTTAGCTCATAGTTCTTAACACAGTAAGGTGAAGATGTTACGAATTTTACACAGAGAACCCAATAGTCCAAAGTTGCCTTGGATTCCCTCTGAGCAAGCAGTCGACAATGGTGGGAAGAAACAAACAAACAAAAAAAACCCTTCAATGGGGAGGAAAACCCAAACTGGGAGCTGATTCCACAACAGAGGAGCTGATAACTGAAGGCTCTGCCTCCCATTCGACTTCTGAAAAGTCTGGGAACCACAAGAAGACCTGCAGTCTGAGAGCGAAGGGCTCTGTTAGGATAATATGGTGCAGTAAGGTATAAAGATAAGATAGAGCTTGGTCCTGTCAGAACTCTGGCTGCAGCATTTTGTATCAGCTGGAGGTTTTTAAGAGAATTATTGGGACATCCTGATAATAAGGAATTACAATAGTCAACCCTAGAAGTTGCAAACGTGTAGACCAGTTTTTCAGCATCACTCTGAGACAAGACATTCCTGATTGTGACGATATTACATAGGTGAAAGAAGGCTGTCCTACAGACGTGCTTTATGTTTGTGTGTTGAGGGACCTTACAAACCTAGTATTGGTCGAGCTATGGAATCTGTAATGTTTAAACATGTTGTTGAGAAATGCCTANTATTAGTGTTTTTAAAAGCTTTGTGCAGCAGCAGTGGGAAAATGAGTGGCGGCATGGATCAAAGGGAAGGCATGATTGTAATTGTCAACCTTCTGTACAGAATGAATGGGTTCTGTGGACATCTTGTAGGATTAATCAAGTCAAAATTGCCAGACTAAGGTTGGGCATTGTGGATTCGCAGCATATTTGAAAATAATAGGAAAGCACCCAGATGGACTATGTCAGTGTGATCATCCTGAAACTATATCACATGTGTTATTAACCTGTAGTAAATACACTGCTGAAAGGAGGATTATGGTTAAAGAGCTCTCTGAGATTGGTTTAACAACGTTTTCAATAAAGGCTATTTTCTCATCTGGACAGAACTCGCTGTTGATAGACAGAGTTGTTGTAAGGTTTCTCATAAAGTAAATGATTCATGTTGACCACATGGGGCAGCATTACGCTTGCATAGCGTACAGCCAGCCGGAAACCATTAAAGAAGAAGAAGAAGAAGACGAAGAAGAAGAAGAAGAAGACGGCGGCGGCGGCGGCGGCGATGGTGATGATGATTACTGTATCTACGTGTGGAAGTGACATTGACTGACAATACACACTTCATAGTATTCATTTGTAGGAGTAGTAGCGGAACATCAGAGTCCGACTAGCCACTTTGCTCGCTGATACAGGTTAGCAGCTAATTTAGCATCGGCACGTTGGTTTCCCATTGGAACATGCGCACAAGCTTTACTGCTGGGAGGTAAGAACCTGAGCTAACTTCGTTTTACAGGAGAAGAAGCCTGCTCTATTTAAATTAGAATCAAAGTCGTGTTGCTTTGTTGGTATGTTGTTTTATTCAAAGCTATGC